CTTGTTAAATCATTGCAGTACTCGAGCTGGGTACTCAAGAGGCGACCAATATTATGCTTCTTATCCAGCTGGCACTGAGCTCCTCACTGACCAAGCCAAGGTCGGTTGAAGCTATTTTGATATTTTCTGTGTGATAAAAGGAATATTTGAGTTAATAGAACGGCCCTATTAGCTATGTTACTGTAATTTTTTTTTTGCTGGATACTTCATCAAATTAAAAACTGATTATTTTAAGTTTCATAAATATGGTGATATAACATGTTCAAGATAAAGTTGAATAAAATTAGGTTGTGCCAAGAGTGTTTTGATGCACTGTTGGAGTTTTTAATCTGAACATGTCTGGAATGCCATGTTATGCTTCAGTTATACAAAGTTGCACTTGGCAATTGTTTTGAATTGGAAGAGTGGGGACCGGTTGAATGGTCTATCATGGCCAAACATTTTGAGCGCCAAGGGAAGACGCCGTATGCATATCATGCGGTTAGTTGATGATATTTTTCTTATATAGCAGTTTCTTTTAATGCAATATCACTCACTATTACTCATTTTTCTTCATCTAATTAGTTATGAAGGAATATTGTTCTCCCCATACTCTCCTTTCCTTGTATGAAAAAAGTGTACATTCAGGCTTCCTTTACAATTAGTTATGAAGAAACATTCAGGCTTCCTTTGATTTAGAGAAAATTTTATCTTGAAAATTGTATTTCAATCCATTCATTCTTTGGGGTGGAAAACATTTCTCCAAAGAACAGTATATTTCTTCAATTTTTTGCATTCGTGTGTAAAATTACTTCCTTTTTCCAAAGGAGGAAGTCATTTTCTTAATCAGTCTTATTCGCTCCGTTTTTGTGAGTTATACATTTGTCCATCATGTGTAGAAGCATAGATGTACTTGATTTCCACAACAATCAAGCGGTGCTTCAATCCCAAAAAAATAGTAGTATTAAAATATTCATAGCTGTAGTATTATCAGCTGAAAAGTTCACACTGCATGCAACTAGTAACCACATAGTCTATTTAAGTGTTTATATGTGTATTTGGTGACTGTAATATGCATGAGATTTTGCACTTTTCTTACCTCTCCAACAGCAATATATGGCACACCTTGTCTCCAATGGGCTACTCGATGGAAGTGGGTAGAGTTAAAGAGAGAATTGTCTCAACAATCCCTTTGAAATTGTTTCTACAAGGCTTGAAACTGCTGAATTGACGGGAAAAGTGTAAATCGCCTCACAAATCTTTAGTTTTGTTTGGTGTATTTTATGTTTGGTAAGGAATTCTTATTCAGAAGGAACGATGCACAAAAACTTATAGGGCACATGTTGATTTTTGAAGGGTTTCGGAGAGTTAGGCTTGTGTCTTGATTTATATATTTGAGATTGTATTTCTAAAAACTGAAGGAATAACATAGAAGCTGATCATGTAACAATTCAGTCGCCAAAATCCATAATCCATCAAACTGACAGTTGAGAAAGAAACGTTTTGTGTTTTTGCGAATATTTTAATGAACTTCATAGAAATTTTAACAAAGAGATGAGTAGATGACCACCTGTAAAGGAGCAATACAATACCAATCACTGACTGTCAAGCTGGTTTAATGAAGCTATTGTGGCCATATAGGACTTGATACTTCTATGTTTGCTGGAGATTCTAACCATCTTGGCAGTACTAAAACCAGTTCTTAACTAAAAAATAAATCAATAGAAAATAAAGTTGAATCTTAAAAATGCAATTGGGGAAATAAAACGAAGTCATAGTGGGGGTGTAGGCCTGATTGCCATTAGGGATGGGTGGGTGAAACTGAAAACTGAAAAAAAAAAAAAAAACTCGAATCGCAACCTAAACAACCAAACTATAAGAAAATTGAAATCGAACTCAAAATACTGAATTGGACTATAATTGTTTGGTTTCGGTTTTGGTTTTACATCTCAAAACCAAACCGAACGAACAAATTGAGCTTTTTAAAACTTGCTATTTTATTTATTTATTTATTTATTTATTTATTTATTTATTTATTTATTTATTTATTTATCATTAAGTATAATATTTTGTTTGGTTATTAATTCTTAATTCTATAAAATTAATGGTTAATACTAGATTTATTATGATTTCAAGATATTGAAATTTGACATTTATGGTTTAATAATTTAGTAAAACACTTATACATACACTTAAGCCTATTGCTATAATATTAACGTGTAAATATCAAGGAGGCTTCTATTGCACTTAAGTAGGCTTCATCTATGTATCTTTAACTCGAGAGAAATAGCGCGTAATAGCAAACCAAATTAAATAATGCATTAAATAATCAAACCAAACGATGTAAACATTTTGCGTCCTCTAACACTTATGCGTAATCAAACACTTATAGTACACTTAATTTAACGCGCAAACTAAAACATTAATGCATCTAACATTGGAAACAATTGATCACTGAATGTAAACAATATGCTTTCTACTTCATCTCTAATAGCATAATAGGGTTGACTAGTTGACCATCAAGCTCAAGTGCTCAACATTTGCATCTTCATGTGATCAAACTCAATCAAATTGGCTTTTAAAATCTTTATCTTGTTGAAAGTTGAATTATGAGCTTGATTTAATTTATGAGCATTACCTTCCATTCTGGTCATTCTGTCGTGTTGTGCATAGGGGAGGCAAAATTTGAGTGCAGTGGCAACGTCGACGTGAGTGTCATTAGTGCAATAGAAGCCTCCTTGAGTGATGTGATTTGATGTCATGTGAGGTTAAAGGTCGGCGACTCAGTTCAAGATTGATAAATGTAATGTTTTTATACGTAGTACGGAGTATTATTTAGTGAAGAATTGTTCTTATCAGCATGAACAACCCCTAACTTCTTCACAAGCTTGATGGACATTATAGGTTAGTAGTTGCCATGATTCCGGTCTCGGGGCTGGATTGTAATCGGCCGTTTCTTAACCGGTACATGGACCGGGAGGCTTGATTTTGTGTTATCTGTCTTGGATGGCCCAAAATGGGGATATGAACCATCCAATCCGGTCTCCGGCTACTAGTTTTTGATTTTTCCTTTTTCCTTAGTAGCCATTGCACATAAGGAAGAGAGTCGTTGGAGCCTCTTCCGGTGGCTCTTTTGACTGTTGGAGAGGGTGGGGCTAAAAAATTGTGCAACAACTTTGTAGTATCATGCGCATCAAATGTGTACTCCATGTTGATTTTTTATGTTAAAATGACACGAAATCTGACTTTGTGCTCTATTATTGATGATATTGAACTTTGGATTCCTTTTTCAGAATCATTAATGTGTGCACGACTGCATGCCCAAAAATGTAATTGAATAACGATAACAAGTCAAAGGGGACCCCAAGTCAAATGATTTTATAGTAAATGGAATGTACACATCACTTATTCCAACATTATGTACCAACATTATTTGATCTCTTGCCTCAAATTCGTAGTCTATTAGAAGTTAGAACTTGTAATGGTTGGACTCAAGTGATTGGTGTTTTCCTTTATTTCACATCGAATTGCCTTTTCAGAACTAGATCCCAAACTCGCAAGGAATTTTGATTCAAGAATTTAAATCTAAAGGGGACTTCTATTGCACTGTGGGTTGGGTTATTTACTTTCTTGTTTTTTTTTGTCTCATACAGTCATACTTGTATTTGCATTTTCATTTTTTAAATATATTTCTTCTTAAAAAAAGTTATCTTATCAAGCTCCCGCAAGTTGGACGGCCGTGAGGTAAGACCAATTTTTGAAATAAGATTTTGAAAAACAGCACGTCCAAGAGGTTTGGTTGGCGCATCTGCTGGTTGATGATATGAAGAAACACGAGTGACACGTAATGATCCTTCTTGCACTTTCTCTCATACAAAATGATAATTTAGAGCAAGATGTTTCATACGAGTGGAATACGGGATTTGCACTAACATAAACAGTTCCATGTTTATCACAATAAATCATAGGGATCTCTTGAACTGGAACATGCAATTCTTGTAATAGGGATATAATCATACAATCCATAAAACTTAAGCTGCAATGTTTGCAATAACCTTATACGATAGTATTCAACATTTCAGCCTCGGCGATGGGCGCGCTGTAGTTCATTGCTTCCGAGAATTCCAAGAAATTGGTTTTGCCAAGATAGATGAGATTACATGTAGTGGAGTGATAGTCATTTTTAAACTACTAGTTATATTTGTTTAAATGTAAACCTAATTTCAATGGTGTCAAAGATACTACGAGCAAGGGCGGACCGTAGTAAGGGGGGCTACCGCCATTCCAACAATTTTTTTTAGTGTATATATATACGAAAAATAATTTTCACCCCCTAAAGAATTTTTTTGTCTAAACTACCGCCCTCCCAAGATGAATTTTCTGGGTCCGCCCCTAACTACGAGGATGAGAATATTTTCACAAAATGATCAGCACTGTTAGTTATTAAAAGTCAACTATCAACACATAGTCCAATTGAATGATCAATACCTATCAATACATTGTGGATGCATATTCATTTTAATGGAGCAACTTAATAAATTACCTCACTCATTACAAAAAATTAATAATATAGAGCTTTGTCTAATATCTAATTACCCTCAATAAAAATTGGGTTCGACACTGTTTTGGCTCAGACCGGGTCTGTTTTGAGCGGTTCCGGCACTTCCGGGCCTAGGACCGGAGCGGCCCGGATTTTTTATCTTCGGCCGGTCAAAAAGCTAAAAAATACATAATGGGAACCGGGTCCGGGGCTGGAACCGGACTGGCCAGGTGCCCAGAGCCAGCTCATGGAACTCCCAGGTGGTTGAAAAGCACTTTGCAAGAACTGATTCACAGTCAATTGGATCTGCTCCTGGATGTCTGATTTGCATTATCTTTTCATTTTGCTCCTTATAGAGTATATCCATTGTTTGGCCAATTCGACGCATGTGAACGAATGTCCGTTTGCAGTTCCTTCAAACAAATGCCCTCAGCCAGGGAAGTACAATGAAAGCACCAATGAAACGATATACTAACGCAGAGTATACATCAAGAGTACGATTACAAATTTATTAATAACAACAATTGTCTTTTTTTTAAACATTTACAGCAACAATTGTCTGGCAAGTGGCAACAAGTCTCAAACATTAAGAAGGAAAGAAAACAACGGAACAATTAAACTGGTTGGCTCCAGAGATTCGTCTCTCAGTGAACAGCAGCAGTATTCTTCACCTAGTATAGAGATAAAAATGAACGGAAATGTTTAGAGAATATTCAGAAAAGGAACCGAGAGAATTTGAGATGAAGACAGGTTCGGGAAGAAGTTTCACCTCCTTCTTGCCCCAATTTCGTAATCTTTCAGCCTTATATTTTCTTTTTTCACCCGAGAGCTGTGCCTAACTCCCACTTGTTGTGGATCATGTGCCACATGTCCCTGATTACTAACAGAATTCTCTATCCTCCGTACACGCGTTACAGCCTGAGTATATAAGAACAAATTAGCACATGATGTAAATTTTAGCTTATGACAAAGTGGTCACACATAATTGAACTGAAAATCACCTCTTGCATATTTGTGTCGTGTTCCTCAACAACTCTTAGTTCATTTTGGATCTGATCATTCTCTAGTGATTTCTCACTACCGTTGAAAATCATGATATGTATTACCATGGGAAAAACACAGAAAGGTTGTATGAGGAAAAGATATATGAAAAATACACCTAGAAGCTAAAACATCAGACCAGAGAGACAAAGATAAGACAAACCAGAAAGTTTTTTCAAGTGATGCACTTCTCTCTGAACGTGTCAAACTTTCCTTTAGGAGGTTGCACTCCTCTCGGTAAATTTCAAGTTCATGTTGCGCCTGTATGAGGCACATTTGTCAGAAAAACCTAATTTATTACCTTTTCAGCTTCAAGTACAAGATTCAACAATTTAACAAGATACAAAATCAAATTCTACCTAAAAGCATAAGTGTTTATCTAGAACACCTTTTGAAAAGGAGTTGGAGTATAAAAGTATGAAGGCTACCTCAGACAATCCCTTGGATAAAGAGGCGATCTCAACATTATATAAGTCTGTTTTTTCATCAATGGCTTCAACTAAAGTTTTTTCCATGGCAGACCATATAACCTTTCTTTCCTCTATACTTAAAAGGGCATCAGCAAGTTGCTGCAGGAAAATGAAACCATCCATGAATCCTAAATCAGAGCAATTATGGACACTTCCCAAATGCATTTGCTTAAGCCATAAGCAATCCCATACCATTGCAAGGTCATCCTTCTCTCCATACAATGCATTTATGGTGCTTTTCAATCCCTGATGATGAGACCTGGATTCTTCCAAATTTGATGTCTGGGATACATAGAAAATTAAGTGTAGCATGTTCAACAGACAAGATCGGTTAAATTTCAAGTACATACACACCAGTTGTGTTAAAGGCAATGAAAAACTTACAAGATGCAAAACCTCTTCTTTCAAAGCGCTTAGCTCTGTTTTGGACACATCTAATTCATCAGATAATTTATGTATGTCAGATGCCAAACTCTCAGCTCTACTCTCTGCCTCTTCTTTTTCCTTATTTGAGTTTGCAAGTTCCTCTTCCAGTGAAGCAATAGTTTTCTCCATCTCAAACGCAAGGACTTCAAGTTTCATGAAGTCTTCCTACAAAAAGAATGTTAAAAATAAATATATATCCTCATCTACAGAATAAAAGCATATATATAGTATGTTGGTGTGCAGTCAAGTACTACAAATAAAAACACGACTGAAAGCATTTGTATTACTATGGGGGTTCAATTCAAGCTCAGTCATCCCCTACCTGCATACTCGGTTCGGCTAAATAGGATGATCGTTTGTCCCTTTTTGCCTCAAACGCATTCGAGCCCCTACCAATAGCAGAATCACGCCTTCTTCCCACGAGGGAGTCATGTTTGTTTATGTCACGCTCAAAAACAGCCTTCTGTCCATGCAAGAGTTTGATTTCCCTCTCCGCACAAGCTTTTTCACTCTAACAGAAACATGGCAGAAAAGGGGTGTGCTATAGCTTTTGATATAGAAAATTCAAATTAAATCAAATTTCAAGCACACAGAATGAAACCTCGAATTTTGTTTTCTCTTGAATGGCATTCTTAAGTTTGGCTTCTGTATCTTTTAGCTTTGCTTTTGTTTTCTCCAATTCTTTTCTAAGTGATTCATTCTCCCTGTTAAGGGATGAAGAAGATAAGCTTGATATTTCTTTCTGAAGGCTTCCAATATAAGACAGAAGTTCAAACTTCTCGCCTTGACATTGTTCTGAGTGTTCCTGGAAAATAGTTGCTAGCATCAGTGACAAAGACAACCTAACAGAGCCTAAACAACAAATCCTATAAAGTGAGGTGCCTTACAACAAATGCATCCTCAGAATCCTAAACACCAAATAGGATTAAAAACAAATCCTATACAATAAAGTGAGGTGACTTACAACAAATGCATGAATGCATCCTCAGAATCCTAAACACCAAATAGGATTAAAAACAAATCCTATACAATACAGTGAGGTGACTTACCACAAATGCATCCTCAGAATCCTGAATGGTTTTTTGTAGTTGTTCCTTCTCATCCTCAAGTTCATTGATTTTCGCCATCAAGCAAGAGCACAATTCCTCATAGCTTTCAGGTACTGTGGCCTTAAATTCCTGAAATTGGAACACCCATATAATGGCTAGCCGAGAACATTGGGTCTTCATTAACAAAATATCCATTTAGACACCACATACATGATACATATACACTTGTACTATTCAATGTGCAATCACACGGGACAACACTATACTATAATAGTTCATACTTGACTCACATTCAATAAACTGGATATGTTAGAGTATAATTGAAAACGATCATCCACTATAACTGGAACGGCAGAATCAATAAGGGCTCTCGAAAATTTAACTTCTGTCTTCATTACCTGAACTTCTGCCAGAAATTGGCTCTCGGAGGCCTTGGCTTCTTCAAGAGATGGTGGCCTTGGCTTGGCTTCTTCTGCCAGAATTATCTCCATGTTTCGTTGTTCAGAGAGAAATCTGCAGTACACTGATTTTTTTCTTGTTGAGGAAGTTTCTTTGCTGAGGATGTTGTCCGCCTCGATTAATTAATACACGGAATATACTCACATATATATATATGTGTGTGTGTGTATATAATAACAACAAAAGGTGTTTGCTGAGGGTGTTGGCGCCAAAAAAATGTGCAATGACTTGAAGAATACTATTTCAGCGGATTAGCATCCAGAGAAAAATTCCAGATTAAATTTACCTGGGTATGAAAAAAAAAAATGACCTTTTTGAAATAATTTCAAAAACGAGAATAAAAAGATGGGATAAGGGTCAGATAGGGCCTCGAACTCGAAAAAAAATGTCAAATAAGGTCATATTTAGGATGCTCTGTCCGGCCGACGCCATTTGGGGCGGTTCCAGATGCCATTTTTGATGAATTTTTTTGAGCATCTTCCTCATTAAGTCTAGTTTACCCATACCAAATTTCAGCTAAAAATTCAACCGGGAAGGTAGTCAAATAATTTTTTGAAGATAATTGTGAAGTTAAACAACCCCGTACATTTCGGAAAATCATTTGACTACGTTCCCGGTTGCATTTTTAGGTGAAATTTGGTATGAGTAAACTAGACTTAATGAGGAAGATGCTCAAAAAATTTCATCAAAAAATTCCATCGGGAACCACCCCAAATGGCGTCGGCCGGACAGAGCATCTTAAATATGACCTTATTTGACATTTTTTTTCGAGTTCGAGGCCCTATCTGACCCTTATCCCTAAAAAGATCATGTTTTTATTGGATTGTAATTTGCTGGTCTGGTCTAATCTGTTTATGTCAGTTTTGGTCTGTTTAACTCTGGTCTGATCTGGTCCGATAAATGTCTGGTCTCATTGTATTTTATAAATATGGAAGTCCGGTCTGGTTTGGTCTGGTCTGCTTAAGACTGATCTAGTCTGGTCTGCTTAAGTCTGGTCTGATCTGATCTGATCTGTTTAAATTTGGTTTGATCTGTCCTGATCTGTTTAAATCTGGTCTGGTCTGAGATTGAAAACAATCCGAGTAAAAAAATCCTAAAATCATCTAAGGTTGGTTTGCAACAACTTTAAAAAAAGCACTTCTCAGCTTTTGGCTTAAAAAAGCACTTATTTACCAAACACTACCAATTTTTTACTTTTCTCGACTTTCGTGTCAAAAGTGCTTTTCCCCTTTTTATACACCAAAAGCACTTATTTTACCAAACACAACCAACTTTTACTTTTCAAAATCACTTTTTTCTCAAACACTATCAACTTTTACAACTAATCACTTTTTCATTTCATCTCCAAAAGTGCTTTTTTTAAGCAGAAGCTGTTGCAAACACTCCCCTAGATTGTCTGCCTAGTCAATATCGAAATAAGCATGTAATGATAAAGAAGATGACTTTCATAAAAAGAGACCATGACCTCCGCCACATACAACTGCTCATACGTAAAGATGGTAACATTTTCCAACTATTGATCCTCACTTTTCATAGCTAACCATTAAGGAAAAACTGTTAAATGGGTCCTCGAACTTTCATAAAAAGGTCAATTAAGTCCTTCTATAGGAGGTTTTGTCTGGCCGTCGCGATTTGGGGCAGTTCCCGGTGGAATTTTTTTATGAAATTTTTTGAGCATCTTATTCACCAAGTCTAGTTTACTCATACCAAATGTCAGCTAAAAATTCAATCGGGAACACATCCAAATTAATTCTTGAAGATAACTGCGCATTTTTGCATTCTCGAATTAATTTGAATGTGTTCCCGATTGAATTGTTAGCTGAAATTTGGTATGAGTAAACTAGACTTGGTGAATAAGATGCTCAACAAATTTCATTAAAAATTCCACTGGAAACTGCCCCAAATCGCGACGGCCAGACAAAACCTCTTATAGAAGGACTTAATTGACTTTTTATGAAAGTTCGAGGACCTATTTGACAGTTTTCCCAACCATTAATGAATTATTGCATATTCATTTTATTTTTTGCTAATAGAAGTCTATCAAAACTCAAAAGCTAATTTTTATCATTAAATACACACACGCATCAAGCTGATTTTTATGATCGATGCATTCAATAGATAACTATTTTCCTTTCAACCATCTTTCCATTTGAATCCTCTGGTTCTTTGTTTAGATGAATCTCAATTTCTCTTATTAAAAAAATTCAACACCTGTTATTCAAAGAAATGTGGATCTTCCATTTATATAGGGAACACACGGGAACACACTGATAAATTAAGGATTAGTAGCATTGACATTAACTCTGATTATAAGAAATATTTTGCCATTACCATTCGAACCATCAACAAAAAAGTAGATCCCAAAGTCAATACCAAAATATAAAAAGTATATAAAACGGAAAAGAACAAATATCCCATAAAATTATACTTTGCAAAAAAGTTGTCATTTTCATTAATAAAGTAATTAATTTATAATTTTGTACAATTTTCTCTCTCATGCACAAAGCTCAAACATATGATTTTTATTTTTCTTATCTCTGACCTAATTCAAAGTTAGCAAAGTTCAAAAGAATAGAGGTAATACCAAAAAACACCTACTTGTCAATGTTGCACCACAAATAATCACAAAGCCTTTGCAACTTTTGTGAAACTTGAAAAGATAAAAAAATGATACAAAGTATTTGTACCCGACCTTATACCCACTCGTGTATCCATTATGACAAACCAACTATAATACTCACATATATACTATAGGTAATGTACTCCATGATGAAACTGATAAATTAAGGATTAGTAGCATTGATATTGGTTGAATCGATTAAGTGTGTGAAAATTCTCACTGAAATGGTTGAATTGGCTCAATTATGAAAAACTATATTTAAAATATATTTTATGAATAAAATATAGAATACATTATATGAATAATAGAGGTGAGACCTTCCTTTTCAACAAACATTGATTCTATAGAAATCGCTTTTCCAAATATTCTATAACAGGCCTCGAAGAACAAATTACAAAAAAAAATTAATAAACTAAATAAATCGGGTAAAAATAAAACATAAACATGTTTATTAGTGATAGACTTACATGGTTCATTATTTTTACGAAGTAATTATGATATTAGTAACATTAACACAATGAATTCTTTCAAAGTATCCCCTCACACCTAAATGATTTTTAGTGTTTTAACCTTAAAAGGAAAGAGAAGGACAACCTTGAGTCCTTGATCTTTATTTTCAGGATTTGAATATAAAAAAACACAAATTCTTTGATAAATCACACCAACATATATTCAACTATTCAAGTGTAAAATTCTGGTAAGACACTCTGTGGATATCGAAAATTATTTAATATTTTGGACTTAATATTCTATGATAGTCCAAAATATTATTAAACTAATTTAAATGCTACCGGGCTATTATGTATCTTATTGGGCCTCTTTCAAGTGATATTGGGCCATCGTCAAATTCGAATGGACTGCTCGTAGTGGTTGTTGGGCTCTATAAAAATAATATGGGTCCATTCGGATAAAGTTTAATAATTAAATTAATCTGGATTATTTAAAATATCCAGTTAATTTAATTATAAATTAATTCCCTAAAAGAATGGTCCAGTCCTTTTAATTTCTCTATTTTGAGCCCGTCATCAAATATTGGCTCAATACATAAGAAGCATGATCCGATTGATAAAGAAGACGAATCTGGTTAAAAAATATGTCCATATGCATGAGAAATAGCTCCGAACCTTGTTAAGAAAGCTGTCCAGATACGTTACACAAGTGCTGATTTTTCTAGCTATTAAAATGCAAGCAAATAGAGCCAAAGCCCATTTTAATTATGGCCCATGAGGTATGGACGAATTTCAGCAACCCTAGGCCATATTTTCACCTCCTCACACCTATAAATAGGGGTCTCATTTGAGAGAAAAAGGGAGAGAACTTCCAGACGAAGAAACGCTGCAGCAAAGCTCTGAAGAACTCCCGAAAGGCTCTGAAGGATTCCGAAGAAGAGGAAGAGATCAAGCCACGTTTTTGTCAAGAATATATGAATAATCCTTTGTGATTTCATCGATTCTTGATCAAACAAAGCCAAAAGTTGAAGAACGTTCGAAGATCTGAAGAACGAAGCTTGAAGATTTGAAGATCTGAAGAACGAAGCTTTGAAGATTCGAAGATATGAAGAACGAATCTTTGAAGATTTGAAGATATTCATATGAAGATTGAATCAATATTCAATTGAAGATCAAGCCATATATCCCGGGAAGCCCTTTAACAGAAGATCAAGCCACATAAGGCCCTTTTGTTGAAGATCAAGCTACTTGAAACCGGAGGCCCTTCAATATTGAATTTTGCATTCAAGAAGATTTGAAGATCTGAGGAACGAAGTTCGAAGATTTGAAGATCTCAAGAACGAAGATTCGAAGAATCGAAGAACGTTCGAGTTTTTGAAGAATTAGAGATTTAATTTTAAATTAAATTCTTTAATTATATTCATATCAAATTGCAATTGAAGAATCAGAGGATTCATATTTAGAGATTGTACCCGATATTCTCATATTTTATTATTTGCGATCAATTTTAAGTAAATACTTAAAATTTGTTTCACACACTCATCAAAGAAACAATTTTAGTGTGCATTTTGGTTAATCTACACAAAGTCCAAACTCTATTACGTATCAAGCGTTTATATCTCAAGTAGGAGTTGCAAATGAGAGATAGAAAGTTAAGAAAGGGTGATATGACTTGAAGAATCCAAACAAAATACGTAACCCAATAAGGAATGAAGCTCAACCAATAGTGGTACATTGTCATGTCCTATGAAGGCATATCTCATGAAGGTGGGATAATGGTTGATCTAAGCATAGAAAAGGGACATTGTCTTGTTATCCAACTTCTCGAGGTCATGATTCCGGAAACATATAAACTCACCGAAACTTTCACCCAAACAAAATACCGCGTCATAATAAAAGGGAAGAAAAGAATAACCTGAATCTTTACTTTGAGAATAGAAATAAAAATCACACTTTTATAAATCATACCAATAGATATTCAAATGTAAAATTCTCGTGTGGCTCAATTGCTTTATTCTCCTTCTGCAGTTCAAATGCTTATTGTTTCTTAAAAAACCTTCACACACAAAAACTATTACGTCTTGGAAGACCACGAACTAAGAATAGTATTGTAAAAAGTCATAGCAAGGATTATTAATTTTAAAGCATATATATGATTCCTTTTATCCCATCTTTATGGATACAAAATCGTCTTGAAATGCCGTTGAGCGGAGGCTAATGTGTTCTCTATCACGGCTCATGCTACATCTAAACAATCATAATTGATTCAATGTTTGAACTTGAAGTCAAAATGGGTTTGTAGCATCAAGCCTGTAAGTAGTACAAATTTAAACATTTTGAAAATGTTACAATGATGAGGCCTATTGATTTGCAATGTGACGGGTATCGTTCATGTACTACGGTAAATGGTGCCACCCTTTACATTCATGGCCAAGTCTAAAAGTTCCTATGTGCCACCTCATCCCAAAGCATGACCCACCAAAATGAACAACATGCTTAACCCTCACTTTGAACATGTATCATCACATTTCGTTTGACTCTGGACAGTTTAAAAAAGAACCCCTCCTATTTTTCAATGCTTATGAGTTATGACATGATTTCATCCCAATTAATCTCTATTCTTCAATGAGAGAATTAAATCTATATACACAAAAAACCAACAAATAGTATAAAAACTTGGACTAGTATGATCATTAATACGAAGTAGTAAATGTGATATACTATTGATAATAATACTAGTAATAGTAATAATAAATTTACTACTCCATATAACTTAATAACTTACACAGAAAAGAGGGAAGCCAAGGAGAAGATGCCATATAAAATGTTCCTAAAGGAGAAAATTGAACAGAAAGCTGGAAAATAAAATAAGAAGGTTAGTAGTTCAAGTAAAATGAAGTACAAAGCATAAAATGCCAAAAGTATTTAAATTTAGATAAAATATTTGTTACCCACAGAAAAATGAAAAAAAAAATAGTTGGATTATAGGAAGAAAATTCAAAACTTATTAAATGAAGATGGTACTTTTCTATATAGCAATGGATATATTAGAGTCAGGAAAAAATGTAACTCAAATGGGTTGGATTTTATCAATGGAAAATATAAAAGCACTACTCCCTCCGTCCCATTTTACCTGTCTTACTTTCCTTTTTGGGTTGTCCCAAAATAAGTGTTACCTTTCCATTTTGGAAAGAAATATGTGGTTCACAACATTTCACTTTACTATACTCAAATCTCAACCACAACTTTTATCTTTTCAACCACTTTATTAAAATTTTTGACAAAATCAAAGGAGACGCATAAAATTAGACAAAGGTAGTACTAAAAAGGGATGGACACGAATAATTTATTTTATTTTGCTTCCTCAAAACTCCAACATGTTAAAACACTCATCCCTAAAATGTAGAGCATTTGGTGCAACAAATTAGACATTCAATCGGTAAAAGCTAATCTTATATACTTTTATAACCAATGGAGCATGGAAACTCTAGGGAAAAGTATGTTTTCATTTTGGAAACTCTATAGAAACTATTTTGAAACTCTCCAACCAATTGTTTTTTTATTAAAAGATGGTGTTTATCGTTTCCCATTTCCGCATGATTCTCATGTTTCCGTGCAACATAGTCTATAACCTAGGATTTAGTAAATTGAAATATCATATTTTAAAAATGAACTACTTCGAATTCATAATTAGAAGCATTTAGTGAATTAAAGTATCATATTTTAGTTAAACGTCAGAGCTCAAGGATCCTATATTTTCATGAAGTAGAAACGTACAATTTTGGTGGAAGGAGAACATGATCAACATATATCTACTACTTAAGGAGAAAAATGGAAGTTATATAGGAAGAGAGTTTTATAACCTTCCCATAAAACCCCATATTTTCAGAAAATTTATAATTTGGAATTGTCATAAAATTTAAATCGAGAATCTACATAAAATTAAGATATGACATAGCAGTCATATATACTTGTTTTCCTTTAAAGTAGCATGGTGTTGAAGATATATAGTCCTCAGATTCAAAATGTAAGGGACCAATGAGACACAATTGTTTATAGGAACGATGGTTATTTTTAAAATTTCGGTTATGCTACACTGCATGAAGCAACACAAATTCCATATACAAACCTATATATAATCAAACTTGGAACTAAGGTGAAAGCAAAAAAAAAAAATGAATTCATTTAGGAGAAATAAATTTTGTTTAAGCTTATAAGGGGTTATTAGATATTATGAGATTAGGTACGTTGAAAATTTTCATAATAGAAAGGAGCCCTTCACTCTATGGTGCAAAGTCTGAAGAAAAACTAAATGATAGAATCAAATTTTGCCTTTATCTTGCCACCTTTATCATGCTACCTTTATTGGAGCCAGTTGAGCAATGAGTTAATGACCTATATAAGACTAATGCTAATTGAATGTGCACAAATAGGACTTGAAAAAAATGAATAATTTATAGGACTTAAAACTACGTTTTTGTACAAATATGCCCCTAATCAATTTCTTTTGAATTAATAATTACTCCATAAAAAAGTAAAATTAAAATGTTGAAACCCTAAATTGGAACTATAACACAACAGCCACCCTCGCCGCCGCCTCCCTCATTGGCGCCTCCTGCCGCTGCCCTCGCTGGCACCGCCTGGCGCCACCTTCACCGACACCGCATGCCGCCACCCTTGCCGGCACCGCCTGTCACCGCCCTCGCCAGCGCCACCTGCCACCATCATTCGCCAACACCACCATTAAGTTGGCAGATTTTCAGATATGCCATAAAGATGACAGATTTATGTTGGACGATTAACACATAGTTGCCATAAATTTGGCAAAAATATGAATTCAATATCCAAATATTGGAAAAAAAAAATGGAATACGCACAAATGTAAAAAATTTGGCAAAAAGATTACACAATCAGAATTAGAAAACGAAGCTAATGACAAAAAAATTAGAAAAATCGTTTTACACAAATGCAATTTTGCCACAATCACTTGTCACTATACACATTTCTGTCATAAACTTGGCAAAATCTGAAGACATCATCCAAATTTTGGATAATCAGATATTTTTTAAAAACTAAGAAATCGGATATTGGAAATAGAAAACAGAGGTCCGAAATTTGGCAAAATCTGCCATAAACTTGGCAAAATCGGAACTTTTTAAAAAAAACCAGAAATCGGAAAGCAAAAACCAGAAAATACAAAACATAATTCCTAAAAATTGACAAAATCAATGTCAAATTTCAGAAATACATAAGAATATGAGGAAGATCAGAAAAATCAATGCCTAACCTCATTAAAATAGAGGAATAGAAGAAAGAGGAGGAAGATGAGAGGGAGGAGCAGAAGAAGAAGAAGAAGAAGACTGTGATGGCAACTAAAACCTCTTGAGCACTTTCCATTCTCGTACTGATTTCCTAATTCTTGTTGGAGTGTCTTTTGTAGTTTCCTAAAAGCCTACGAACGTCCTATTTTAGAATAATGCATGAGAGTACTAGTTTTTTTAACTACGACTCATTTATTTTTCATCACATAATTAACAATCAGTTTAAATTTCAGATGTTTAAATTTGAACCTAGTTCAATGGTGTCAAAAAATATGAGAATAAGAATATTTTGCCTGGCATGTGCTCCTTATATCATCTAAACCTTCACAATACTAGTCAATCCACCCGTGCGTTGCACGGAAAACAAATGAAATTAATTTATTTTTACAAATAATTTATTTCATGAGTAATGTGTATATACATATTTATTGTAGAAAAATAAAAACATGATATAGAATTATATTATAATACATGTAAATTAATTGTTAGTCTGTTAGAGATACACCAATTAGTATAAAACTACCAAATAAGTATTCTTTCATCCCTAACATATCTTGTCTAATGAAGATGATAACAATTGTTATCGTATTACAATCTCATACGTAGTATTATTTAGTTATAATTATGATGATTATTCACCACATGACATTACTTTTTACTATCTTGTTGTGTAGGTAAATTATTTTTCTCAACTGATTTGTAAAAATCTCAATCACATACAATGTAATTTTTACTTTGTTTATATTCCAGATGCAAGTCAATTCTGGACAAACTTAATGGGGTACTGAGTATTATCATTGTCCTTTACATAATATTTGTATCCAAATATATTTTACTCTATTGTATCCAAATATATTGTAATATTTCTGAAATTAGAACATTACATTTATAACTTTATTATATTATGTCTCTTAATTAATTATGTATATGTATCTTTTAATATTTTTCAAATACTTTTTTAATATTTAATGTATTTATGCTCAATATAATTTTCTAAAGTTTTATTTATAACTTACAACAATTAATTAGGTTGACACTTAATATGACTTCACTAAGTAATGCTCCATTAATAGTGACATTAATTTTCTAAAGTTTTATTTATAACTTACAACAATTAATTAGGTTGACACTTAATATGGCTTCATTAAGTAATGCTTCATTAATAGTGACAACAATTTT